CCTACAGTTGTTTTTTTTTTTTTTTACCCACTGGTGTGGGTACAAAATTTTCTCTTTTTTTTTTTTTTTTCATTTACTGGTGGCAAAATCCCACTGGCCAGCCCATGGAATTGCCCAGTTATGCTTTTGTAGAGTGGGAAGGGAAGAAAATCAGGAATGTCAGGCTGATGGGAAGGCTCTTGGGAACAGAAGGTCTTCCACTTCTTTGCTGGCTCAGACAGCGCTGCCCTGTAAGCCTGCCCGGGGCTTTCCCTGCTGTTACTGCTGATAGGAAGCTGTTCCCACTCTTGTTTTCTTGCAGTTAGAAACTTTTTATTTCTATCCCTTAAAAGGGATCTTGATCCATCTCCTGCACGCCTTCCATTGGAAGGCTGCTGCTTCCCTTGTGTCCCGTGAGCGCTCGGTGCGAAGTCCGGCAGCCGTGGCACGCGGTGCCGTGTTTGCCTCCAGGATCCTTGGCTTTTTAAAAGCACTTGGAGTCCTGAGGTATCAGGTGAGCGAAATAAAATTAAATGATGGGCTGCCGATACCCTGTCCCCAGGTAATTGGTGTGGTGACGGTGACACATGGGATAACAGAGACGGGGAGATGGATTGTGCTGCTCTGAGCCTGATGGTGTCGGAGGATGCTGTGTGCTGGAAGGACCAAGCTGGCCTCTTGCTACCAGCCTGTCCAAGCTCCGGGATTGATTGATTAGTCCCAAGTAACGAGACTTCCCCAGATCCTTCTCTCAAACCATGAAGTTATAAAACACGAATAGCTGTTCCAGCTGGCTGGGCAGTGACCAGCCCTCCGGACAGCTCGGGCACTGCAGAGGGCCTGGGGCTGCCAGCTTTGTGCCACGGCTCGGTGCTTGGTACCGTTAAAACGCACGGGTGGGATGGAGATCTGGCTGAGCAGGAGCAGAGCAGGTGGAGATGTTTGGCTGTCAGCAGATCACCCCGGCAGCTGGTGGCACAAATCCAAAGGCAGCTGCTTATCTTCAGGAAAGGGGCTGTTGCTGGGGCGAGTCGGACTGACACAGAAAAAGCTGCTCCCGGCGCTGGAGTGCTGGTGGGGAGGATTTTATCTGGGGCAGGAGCTGAGCAGGCGTACGAGGACAGGGGACTCTGGGGTGCAAGAGAGATCTGCTGTGTTTTGGAGTGATAGTTTTGTTTGTTTTTTGTTTTTTTTTTTTTTTTTTCAAATCCAAATCCATGTGAGAATAACTCTGCTGCTGGAAGCCTGCCTGCGCTCCCCGCAGCTGCTCTGGACTTGTGAAGGGAAAAAAAAAATAATAAAAAATCACACAGCAAGGATCGAACAGCCCTGAGCCTCTGTCTCCCTTCGATTCTTTCGACACAGCCCTGATCCCTGCTTGCCATGGTGTGTCTCTCGCTGCCCGAGGCGATGGCTCTCGGGAGCACCAGGCTCAGGAGAGCAGGTCCGTGCTTCAGCCCTGGCTTCGGAGAGGTCCTTCTCCATCCTGCTGCCTCCACTGGGAAAGAGACTGTGGGGCCGAAGAGGAAAAGATCTTTGGGGAGAGAGGGTGGGAGTTAGATCCTTCTAAACGCATTTTTGCCTATTTGGACTTGTTTTAGGGGATTGTGATGGTAGGTGGGGTTTCTGCAGGGGAGTGCGATGTTCCTTCTCCGGACATGCCACCCATCGGTGCCGGTGAGGCACATTCCTCCTCTGCCTTCCGTGATGCCGAGGGGATCTTGCCATGCTCATGTCCCAGCTCCCGAGGCATCCGAGGGCTTCCCACCTTGAGCATTTGTCTCACCCCATCGAGGACCATCTCTGGGCTGGGAGGTGGCGTGAGCTCCCTTCCGCTCGGTGGGACGGTGCCTTTGCTGGATGTGTCCTGCTCTATGAAGAATAACAACACGGTGGCGATGGGGATTTTTTTTTTTTTTTTTAGGAGCTGATTGTTTGGAAGCAGCGGAGTGAGAGACGCGGGGGGAGACGGCGCCGGCGCAGCGAAGTAGAAAGTAATGAAATGGAGCCCGAGCGAGCAGGACGGAGGGGAAGGGGCAGAGTGACAGCGTGAAGGAGAATCACTTGTTCACCTTCAATCAATTCCTGCTTTTTCTCGCCGTCGCACGCGCCTGTGTGCAGCTGAGCGTGCGCGGGCAGGGAGGGGAGAGGCAGCACGCGTTGTCAGGAGCTGTTAGGAAATACATTTGTCAACAACGGGGCAGGGACCGGAGCGAACGGAAAGAGGCGGCCGTCACCGTAGCCTTTTATTTATTGATGGCTTTGGCTCGTTCCTGCCTTGGGAAGAGCTTACCTAGGGGGAAGAGCAGTGAGGTGTGGGAGGAATGGGCCCAGTTGCAATATTTATGGCTTCTACCTGTTGCTGACAGCTCCCAGGTGGGGCTGCTCAGCCAGGGCAGCGGCCGATGCTCACTTGGTCTTCATCCCCCTCCTCTAGCAGAGCCAGCTCCTGGAATTTGCCCCCGTTTGGAGTTCCCACAGGTCAGCAGGCGTTGCAGCTGAAGAACATCTGTCCGCAGGGACAGATGTTTCTCTCGGGAAGAGCTCGGTCGGTGGAGCTGCCCTCCTGGCTGGCTGGTGTCTTCTGCCTGCAGCTG